TCAATAGCTTTATTGCAAATAGTAACCAATAATCTGTCTGTTGATTCCTTATTTATCACTTTCCTGGCACGGATGACTCATCACCAGGATTTTTAAAAAGATTCGTCAAAATCTACCTGTAGTTTGAGCTGATCAATCAAACGTATTCTTTAGGTAAACGCCGTATGCCTGTTTTTATACTTTATTTTGAAGTCATTCTCAACGTCAAACTTTCATTCGCCCTTCATTGTATCATGTTTAAATAGATTTTATTTTTAAATTATAAGCTTACACTCGGCCTTCAATTAAATTCATAGGGTGGTCGTTGTCCGCTTTTAACAGCCTGCAAAACTTTTCGTCTTTTGACATTATCTTTCTACTCAAACCGTCTAGTATATGAATTGCATCATCTCCCATGAAATAATTGGTTTATGAGCGAGTAAGGGGATGCATTGATTGTTACATATGCTGATGGCTACCAGACTAAATGAGAGTAATTAAAACAGTATCAGCTGTGAAGGACTAACTGATGAATTGCATATGCCTACCATAAACAAAGAATATGAACAAAGCCATGAATGTGGCATGAAGAACACCGGAGAATTTGTTTTCATAACCATTTATTTGATTTAGGATTAATAAATCCTTGTTTTGAGGTTGAAATCGCCCTTGCAGAATGGTTTTTGACCTACGCGCTTTGCTAGAGTCAAAACTTCGTACAAGGTGATTTTGACAACGGGCTTTTTAAAAACCGCGGTGTACACATGTATTCTCCTGAGACAGTTAAGTTATGATTATGAGAACATTCGATTATCAGTTATTCGTATAGCTATCAACCAATTTTCTTATTAAGAAATATTTTACTTGGTAACAAAAGATGTACAGGTAAAATATATCTACCTTTTTTATTCGTACAGACTGTATAATACACAAAATATGCACATATTGCTCCAAAAATCTAAAATCGTTTTTTGATTGACTCTTTGTTTTTCCACCTATCTATGCCTCTTGTCCCCCCCCCCCCCCTAAAAAAAAAGCCCGTCTCGCTCTCACTTTCTTTCTCTCCGTCTTTCAGCGCTTTACGTTGAGCTACGGTCACAAAGGTTCGTACGAATCTCCCTGTTCGAAGGAATTCCAGAGTTCATAGAGATTCTTAGATGGGGCATAGTTTCTTACGTCCTTCTACCGGCCTTCGTACGAACGCCGTTAATTTTTGTTCTTTTTCGTAAGAATGCCTTGAGTTATTCTTACCTACGGCCATCTTACGAGTTTGTGTTCTCGCAAGATGGTCGTACGTGTAACTGACGGCATTCTCAACTCATTCGTAAGCGATTTTACGATTATTTTTTTAATATAAGTCAGGAGTCATTCGTACGAAAGCATTACGAATCTTTGTTCGTAAGGCGTTCTTAAGAACGCCGTAAGATCATCGCAAGAAATGTCTCTCGACCCTGCAAATTGTACGAAAAACTTCAGGGGTTCTTAAGATCATCGCAAGAAATTTGAGGCTTCTAGATTTGTCTCTCGACCCTAAAAATTGTACGAAAAACTTGTGTAGTTCTTACGATGTTATTACGACGTTCGTACGGCCGACAAGACCATCGACCAATCTGCAAACTTATGAACGGTCTCCGAACGCTGGTTTCGTACGGCCTTCTTATGAAATTCATACGAAATATTCTGAAAATCGTTCGTATGGCGTCCGTAGCAGCCCGTAACGGTATTTGTGACCGAGGCTTTACTTTCTTTCTCTCTCTTTCTCTCTTTCTCTCTCTCTCTCTCTTTCTTTCTCTCTCTACTGTCTATGTTCTTCTATCGCTTTTTCTCCTTTTATAATATATATATATATATATACCTCTTTCCTCTTGTTATTCTCTCTTTCTCTCTTTCTTTCTTTCTCTCCCTCTTTCTCTCTCTCTCTCTCTCTACTCTCTACGTTCTCCTCTCGCTTTTTCTCTTTCTAAATATACCTATTTCCTTGTTATTCTTTTCTCTCTCTCTCTCTCTCTTCCATCTTCTGATACCACCATTGGTGTACTTTAATAAATGAAAACAAAACACTATTTTCTATTCTGCAAAAGAAAAACATAATTTATTGTATTTAAAATGAAGTACCTGTTTCACGTTTGGAATACACATAATTATATACTGTTTGAACAAACCTATTTCTCATAGCGATCATTTCTATAAGTCAAAGGATATATTTTAACTGGAAAACTTCCGCTTCCCTTTTCGGGACCGGAATTGGGATTCCCCCCTACAGCAATTTCAAATTCACTAGAAGGCGCATTGGACGCACCTGTAAGCGAAACTCTTGTTTCGTATATGTATAAATGTAACTCATTATCATTCATTAGAACGATATAAGATATGTTATGATATGTTGTGGTATGTCCTCACTACTACCAGCACTCATATTGCACCTATCGACGGATCGATATGAAATATTGGTATATGTCGACAAAAACAAGGATATATTTGATCACTTTATGAAGCATATTTTAGTTAAAAGGTATAAAAGGTCTAAAAGGTTGCGTAGTGAGCAAAACAAATGATGAGGCTTAGTCAGAAAAACTTTAAAATCTATTTGGCACCAAGAACACGGGTTTAAAGGCCTACACTTAGGTCATGTCACCTACAATTTGATGCTTTAAAACACATTTCTTCATTTCGACAAAAAGAAACGGAATTCTGTTTACACTAAATCAGTGGTGATTAACCAAGGGATCATGATCCCAAAGCATTAATTGGAGATAGTGAGACAGTCATGAAATAGATCAAGCGCCAATTGTAGGTTCGTCATAATTTGAAGTGGAAAGACCATGTGATGATAACAATTCCCCACCCAAGAAGAAAATATGAAATTCTTAATTACATAAATATTTTGACTTAAATCAGATAACACTGGAAAGTAAGAAACATACACCCCAATAATTGGGATTCCCAACAGTAATTGCAATACATGACGAGTTGCATTATAAAGAAAACATCCATACAAGCGAAAATTTTGTTTTATCGTAATCGTAACTCAGCATCGTTATAAAATATTTTATGATAAAAATATTTTTTGAGATTCTTATGGAGTCTATGCTGGTTTGTAGTCAAAATATTCTTGTAATTAAGAATCCCATTCCAAATGTGCTAAGTGTAGGACAGGGATATACTGAATCATAATCAATTATTTCAATTATCTGATTAATAGCAAAAATGGCGAAGAAGAGAGGGTCCTTGCTGTAAATCCAATCTGAAAAATGATATACATCTACGAAAATATTAAAAATTAAATTGGAACTGGATGTTTTGAAGAACATGGACTGTTTCTCGCAGTAAGCTTATATTAGTCTTTCCTTCATTTTGAACAAAACATTACGTTGTCAGTTTTTTATTATGTCTGTATCCTTCCCAAACATGTATGGTGACGTGTCAACACAAATCTAAGATCACAAGCATGAACGTACATATTTGAGAAGGAAAATTCACTATGAAAGAAAAATAGACTTTATAATCAGGAATTCATCAATAAATGAAGAGTTTCAATTTCTATGGGTGAACGAATTATAAAAGGGCTTTCATTGGAGAATAGACTATGGGACGAAACTTCACCTGGTGGAAAAGGTGAAATTCTAGCTTCCTGTTTGACCTGCACAAGCCAAGTACAGAGTCATTGAAAACTGTTTGCTGTTTTCGCATGTATACATCTTTCGAGGCATTAGGACCCAAATGGTCTTCAGCAATAGAAAGAAAACTAAAAAGACTCAGGAAAAAATATACGTTATACCAAAATGTTGATCTCGAGTCATAATCCCCATAAACGTTCATTGGTAGATACATTGGACAAATTGACGTCGATGTTTTACCAATAACTATATAATGAAGTTTAAAATATTTAAACTACGATGCTTTCATTATGCTCATTATTTTACATGCCATTTACGTAAGTTCTTGTGCAGAGACTCTAGGTTTTTTGTCTAATTATATGCCCACATTAGCGAATGCGTGCATATCATGCGGCCAGGTGCACAACTCATTAATATTTCAGATATACTGTTTTTGTCACTCAAAGCAAACATGAGTAGAGGATGATCATCAGAGTGAGATACTGGACGGTTAAGAAACATGCACGGCAATGGATGACACACAAAACATAAATATATAGAACCATTCAGAATATTCAAACAAAATGTTGTGAAGATATATTTCTGACATATAATCTCAGGACAAAATGTAATAGTCTATCAGAGATGAATATTACAAATAATATAAATAGATTCCAGCTTATTTACAACGTATGATCAATTATCCACGAAACATTATTCAGTTTTTATTTACATCACACATTACAAAATATGCTCCACCTAACGGCCAATAATCACATTAATAGGGTTTACATGATTTATGGCAATATGATGTAGACTTATCTCTTCTGTAATCTTGGATAGCTTAAAACTCTTCTGAAATTACAGCGATGCTCCAAATCAATTATTGTCTATTGTCATTGGAACATTTTGTTTAAAACACATGTAGCACACAAAAAATACTTCTATTGCTGTATAAGTTACTCAACCAAAAATCTAGATTCATTTATTGTTTGATTTTCAGCTACACCTACACTAAACATAAAATCAGGATTTCCATTTTGGTCACGTATTTTAAGCATTCTGACTTTCACTTCAAGAGAAACTTGAAATATCATGTTGAGCTAAGATTAAAGAGAAGGTTGAGTTCTGGGAAGAGGTAAAAATAATTTGTAAGCGTTATCGTTGTTATTATGTAAGGGTGGAAGAACATCAGATTAAACATGTTCCCTGAAAAGCATGGCTCTTCAAATGCCTTCATATTCTAAATACGACATGAAACATCTTAAAAATCGGGGGGGGTAGGTTTTTTTCGCCATGTGCTCGTGTAGTCCCATATACATCATTCTGTGTACAGTGCTTGTAACTTTGCCAAGATTTGGCCAAATTTCTTATCATTTTGATGATTCCAGAACCTTGCAATACACACAAATAGTTATATACTAGATAATCAACCTTTTCTGATAGATTCCACACCGTTTTTTTTTTCACAATGCAATCGCATGACCAGAACTCAACTTTATCTTTAAGTCACGGCGCTTGTGACCTGTCGTTCTTTACTTTGATCAAAATACTCTACACAGCTGGCGACGTGACGGAAATTCTGAAATCCTGGAATCCTAAAAGGACACAGTTCTCCATTGTAAAAGATATCTCCTTTTAGCCTCTCGTCAGGATAAACACGCATATTGGATAGTTCAGTTAAACCCATTCCCAGTTCCACTTGAGATTCTGTATGACTGTGGGTTGATTCCTCCAAGGGATTGAGTGATTTTCTTTGCTGAGCGCATACTAGTACACGATCTACTCCCAGATGGCCTTATTCTTCATGGTCTGTATCAATCCTACCCTCCCAGCTTCGACTTCAAGCGCTCCATTTCTAATTCACTTAGTCCTTACCTCCAATTGGATTTAAGCGTAAGAGGAAGACCCACACCAGAACCCTGGCAACGTTTCTTTTTTCTCTTGTCGGCCGCAACTCCATTAGACAAACGGACGTACGATGGAACGAGCGTTTGTTCTGTCTCAGAAGACATCTTTCCACTCGTAACGACGTTTGCCGCATGTAAGAATTTTCTTGAAAGCGATTTTAAAGTCTCGATTAGCAAATGCGTAACACACAGGGTTTAAAGTACTATTAATATAACAGAGGAAGTAGCTAAAAGAAAAAAGGCTGTCATTCACACAAGGGTTACAGAAACCCTTGACGATGATCAAGATACTATAAGGTGTCCAGCACAGAATAAAGAAGCCTAAAATGGTGCTCAGGGTTCTGACAGCTTTTGCTTCACGTAAATTAACCAAGACAGATGAGAGTGCCTTGCCTAGATGATGATCCTTGTGCTTGAAGTTGCTCATTGCTGATTTAAGACCCTTGCGATCAGAATTGAGGGATGAGCAGCTGTTTGGTCGTTTCATAGGATGAGTCTCGGCGTCACAGTCCGAATATACAGAATTATTGTCACTGCGCATAGATGTTGCCCAATTTGCTTTCTTGTTATAATTGTCAGGAGTTTTATCTCCACCGTTGCTATTGACGTCGAAGTCATCACTCTCATCTGCCGAGTTACACCTCTGTGGCAAGGGACTAATAGTATCATACTCCTTGCCCATCTCAGAAGAAGCCGTATCAGGTACATAAGGACCCGGATCCTGTGGAGTATCATCAGAGTCTGTTGGACCGGACACTCGATGTGTTCCATTCTCTGTTCGCGAAGGAAACACATCGGTCATCGTTGCGTTCGTTTCCGTCCGACTTCGCCTCTTCTTTTTGGTGCGCATACTGAGCCTGCCAATTAGCCTTGCCTGACTTCGCGTCAGTTTACGCGTTAAGAGGTAAATGCGAGTATATAATACCAGGATCACAAACAATGGCATCCAGTATATCAAAATAATTGATCCTGCAGTGAAGTACGGATTATTTACAAATTGAACATCGCACATATTTAATGCTACCGTTCTGTTTCCTTCAAAATACTGCCATCCGATTATGGGCACACCAAAGAGGAGTAATGAAATAACCCAAGTTGCCAGAATGAGGGCCATTGCTCGTGGTCGAGTCATTTGATGTCGGTAGGTCATAGGAGCAGACAGTGACCTGTATCGGTCGACACTAATAAGGAAGATACCAAGTACCGATGCAGCGCAGCAGACATAGTCTAATGACAACCATACATCACATACATGAGGACCCATTGGCCACTCACCTAGCAGAAGATATGTAGTATAGAATGGCATGGAGATCAAACCCACCAAAGCATCAGCCACAGCCATGCTTAAAACAAAGTAATTGCCGATGATGCGTAAACGACGCTCTCGCGCAAAGGCAATGATGACCAGAAGGTTTCCTGCCACGGTGAACAGACTGGCAAAACCTGCTGCAATTGCAGCCAGGGTTACCGTGGCTATATTGAAAGGGCGGCTCACTGCATCCATATCAGAACCGTTCAAAGTCACATTGGCTACTGGCTCCATAGTTGATACTTTTTACACAAAACTTCACTTTATTAAAACGATTACTTCGTCCGCAATGACGGGAAACGATGTAAGTTCTTTAGGTGAATCCTCGTTATACACCCTCTTCTGAATTCGGCATGTTCTTCAAAAGAGTAAAATTTGCGGATGATCCATTAGACTTTAGGGATGTCATCATTGTGACGTCAGGCAAATATACGTACTCGTTGATATCTGCAGGAAAAGATAAGAGAAATATAGAAAAATATTTTAAAAACAGTGCGTTTACAGTGATCGTCAAATGTTAAGAAGTCTAACACATCAAACGAGAACAATCTGTAGCCTCATATTAGGAATGACTTGTGTATACTTCTGCTTTGTATTAAAACATTCATTTTAATTAATAGATTATCGGAGATTTTTATAAATTTAAAAAAATCATCTATGAAAAAATGATAGACAACATTTTTCACACTAGTTTGAAAATAGGGCGGATGTGAAAAATGTGTCTTTTATAGTATTGAAGAACTTGAAAAATAATAATTCGTTTTTACTAAAAAATTATGACAATAAAAACATAAAAAAAAGGATGATAATATTAATTATAATAATAATTATGATAATAATAATGATAATATTGATAACAACAATATTACGAACAATGATTATAACAAAAGTAATAATACACATAGTAATGCTATTCACGATGATGATGATGATGATGATGAGGAGGAGGAGGAGGAGGATCGTATTTATACATATTATATTCATTATCAGTATTATTGTCAGTATTGTTTTATTCTTGATATTACAATAAAATGAATAGTAAGAAACTTGATAATAATATTAATATAATTAATATAATGAATAGCATTCATTAATGATAACAAATATATATGGATTGATTTGAATTGGTTGGTAAGACTTTAATAATCTGTATATCTACATGTAATAAGATCAATTTACCAGTCGTCTGAACTACAGTTTCCAATGTTTGCCAAACCAAATTGAGATAGTGGAGAGAGGAAATTAGTGATAATGAGATAGAGAGAGATAGAGGTGGGAGAGAGATAGAGGTGGGAGTGAGAAAGGAGGGGAATAAAGGAGACATCCATGAAGAACGAGAGAGATAGAGAGAGAGACGGGGTACATGCATGGTGTTAAAGATATGAAAGGTGAACAACTTTTAGTGAGCTTTTTCATTTTTTTCATGTTTGTGTCGAAGAGTGTTATCAATATAAAGAAATGTCCTCTGAAAAAGGTGCCCCAATATTATAAATATTGCAAGTAACAGTTTTAGGTTGTGTACCACACTTCCATACCACATGTTTGTGTACAAATTTACAAGTTCCAGTGTGAAGTGCATGTGACTCTTATCAAGACAGGGCCAGTTTGTTCTCAATTTTGATGATTCCAAAACCTCAGTGTATACACAAGGGCCCCGTCTTACATAGAGTTGATATTAATCGCTTCTTATTTGCGATTGATTAGAGAACTTGCGATTGATTTGGATCAATCGCAACACTTTGTAAGACGGGGCCTAGTACTACATTGTCAAGCGTGTTTGCTTGCGCACGACCAGAACTCAACTTTATCTTTAAAAAGGCATGCAAGGGTACAATGGTTGAGGGCCTGTTGCTCATAAGGCTCTTCTATTGATCTGAATTTCACGGGGACATGATGGCGTGGCGTAGCCATCCGTTACCTTGTACTTGAATTAGTACCGGTTCATGGTTTTACATATGCGTTCAATTGGACATCGCCTTCATCATCAAGAAAAACTCTAAAATCTCATTTGACCAATTTTTGACCTCAACCCCAACTTCCCATATATATTAAGCCATCGAGTGTCAGATATTTATCTTGTGTTAGTACAAGTGTATACTTGAATGAAATCATTTACATGAAATTTGTAATAGAACATTTTATTATTAAAAATTGTTACTATGATTCGGGGAAAAAACTAAAACATCAGATATTCTCGTTCGAAACAGTACACTATTGTAAGAACTAATGATAGACTCTCCTTTGATTTCTTTTTACATTGTTACTATCTATAATTTTCATTGATAATAAATTAATCTAAATGTAATCAATGTTTATATTAGATTTTAAAGAATTTATTTTAATAGATAATCATCTCAATAATTGAAAATAATGTCATTCTTTAAGTTTCTTTTTCTACATTCAAAATGCAGAGCTCGATCCTGCACTTAGCACTTTTTTCAATCTTTCAATATCTTTACCATTCATGTGTGACTTTCACCGGGAAAGTTTACAAATATCGGAAACTGATAATATAGATACCCATATCCCTTTTTAAGATGATGTTCTTTTTTTGTGTGTATACGCTACCATTACCATCCAACAGTGTGACATGTTAAAATTGAATTATATTTAGTTACTTGGATCGCAAACTGGTAAAGGTAGAACGGAAAGTTTTTAAATAATATTTGATAAATGACCATTGCAACTTTCAAACACACATACAACTTTTCTTCTTGTTTGTGTGTGTTACTGATGATGTGCTGCATGCATGCTTCACATTACAATCCGTTTTTAATTTCTCTGTTGTTATATTTTTGATACAATATTTTGTTTTGTTATCGGATTTTGTTTGACTCTGCTGTGTTATGTTTAAGGGAAATCTACTATATTTTTCATTTTCACTTTAACGTCAAGCAAGAACTTTAAGAACTACCAATGACTGATTTGTGCATTTAAACGAAGACAGACCACGTACCCCTAAACTAAGAGAGGCGAATGTGAATAACATGTATTTGGGGGAAATCCCATGGTCATAGATGGCTATCCAAGACAATGAATTGTTGATGAGCATATCAGTTCAAAGAAAGTCAATTGGGCGATATGACAACATTGGCGGATGTGATATAATCTCGAGTGATTTCGTGAACAACTTTTTAAACACGCTGTATTACGATGAGTTTTTTACTGTCAGAAAAAAAAATTCAATATTATGTTAAATTATATTACAGGGGACAAGTTACTCTCTCTCTCTCTCTCTCTCTCTCTCTCACACACAAACACAATCCAAACACACACATCCCTCCCCGCACGTAGCCCAGTATATCGAAGCTCTTTCCCTCTCTCTTGCTCTCTCTTATTGGTGGGTTTTGACGAACAAATTCGAAAAAGCAGCTCAAAGGTAGATGCAGGTACTTCGATCGTCGTGAGTATATCGACCCACCCCCTAACAAGCCTACTACGGAAGGACGGTAACGGATTTCTTTATTTATGACTTTCTTCCTCTCTTAAGTGACAATTTTTGCGACTCATTTGAATTCAACTACTCTAAGTGATGTAATCCTTTAGTTCAGTGCTCTTCTGAGCAATTGCCCAAACACGTTTCCTTCATTCATTTACCTTCTTTTGTAAGCACTAACATAAAGTACTGTTGTCATTTGTTTATGTCGTCACAAAAATAGCCTAATAATTTATGCTGACCATCCCTGGTTTTATAATCAAATTATAGGCTAAGATTCATCATAGATACGGGTTATTTTTACTATCAAGCCTAGCGTGACTTTTCGATAACAAGCATGCATTAATAAAATCTACGTCGGCCTGCTTCACATTAGTTTTACCTTCCACTGTGTGCTCTTCAAACCCGTGCATTTATTGTCTAACCAGAATGGTAATGCATATTCGATCAGAGGATATTACACGCTCAACCACATTATCCCATTCATTAATAATATGAAGCGAACTTTCGATTCGACTCAACTACCTCATCTATAAATGAAACGGTGCCAGGCAAAAATGTTAAGAACGTCAAAGGTATAGATGCCAGAGGTAAACAAAAATTGAAAATTGAAATGTCAGAGGTAAACAAATCAAGAGGTAAAAACAAAAGCAGAGGTAAAAGAAAATCAGACGGAAAAACTATCAGAGGTAAAAATAAAAAATAAAAAATGTCAGAAATATATCAGAGATAAAAAATAAAAATAAAAGTGTGTGTAATTGGGATTTGTATAGACTTGTATTAATCAGATATGATTATTTACGTCTGGGGACCAACGTTTAACGTCACCATCCGAAGGATGGGACTTTTTTCGAACAGGGTCCGCCTGAGCCAGTTTATAAGCGAGGACAGAGAGCTGACCAAGTGAACGTGCCGCTAGACCAACTCATATCTCCATAAAGGTTGTCTATGTCTTTTGTATATCCTTCATCTTTGAAAATGAATGATTTTGTAAAATGCTAAATATTTCCGAAAAATTGTAACAATCATAACATAACCAGAGACTTGTAAGCCTATTTTCACTTGTTAGTGGGTAGTGACGTACATGACTAAGATCATAATCACCCAGTTTGTGAAGAAATTTCGAGTCTGCTTCAGACGATGTATTGCTGGGGTAGGCCATATTTTTTTTTTTTTAAACAGTTGATCTTTGCAAGAATTTTTCCATTGGAGATTATTTCATCTATTGCAACAACGACAAATCTTCATTTACACTCTTGTGATCCAATTCACGCGCAAAGCATTTTCACTACCACGCGCATACATGCATTATTTGTACACTGCACGATATTCAACGATTTAGTGTCCCCCACTGAGCGACTTTTCGGCCGGCGCGATTTTCAAAAATAATGAAGCTGAGTCGTTCCGAATTTTTGGGCCCGATTTTAAACCCCCCCCCCTTGCAAAAATCCTGCGTACGCCCCTGATATACTTGTATATTAGTCTAACAGCTTACATGATACAACATATCTCATGACTTTACTCGATATTGCCCCCCCCCCCCCAATGAAAAATAAGAAACTTCCTCATGCTTACAAACATCCTTCGCGGTTTGCCCAGTGCCTAGTCCATATATCACCCAAGCCAAGGAAAAAAAAACATTATTGGCTGGCGCACATATAGGATTTTGATTACCTAAGTAATCGAATTATTTGCCCGATTGGTTTTTATTCACAGAAAAAAAGATTGGAGAGGAAATATTGTATTTACATAAAAATGGACTCTCCCGCTGCTTGAATTAACCCTAGCTTTATACCGTTTTCGCTAAATTAATTTTGCCGTCATGAAAATGATTGGTGTAGAACGGGCGAACTTTGTCCAGCTTATGAGTCTAATTTATCAATCTGTGTCCTACCCTTTTCCACCTTACTTTCAAAACACATTCACGAATTTATGTATCCTCTATTATTATATAATTGCTTGAAGAGGCTTGTTTTTTTAAACATCTGATGTTTATCATGGTCGTTTAAGT